GAGCCACTTTCAATCTTTGTTGATACCTATGGAACATCAACTAAAACTGACAAGGAATTGTTAGACATCATTAAAAAGAATTTCGATTTAAGACCAGGTGTTATTGTGCAAGAATTAGGACTTCATAAACCAAATGGTTGGTCTTATGAACAAACTGCTTCATATGGACATTTTGGTCGTGATGAGGTAATTAATCATCGTCATCATCTTTTTTTCTGAGGAAGTTTAAGTGTCTTTATTTGTGGATGATTATAATAATAATAATATTATTTTTTTATTTTATTTTAATACATAGTTCCCATGGGAAAAACCAAAGGAATTGAAATTATAAATAATTAAAATTCTTTTTTATTGTTATCATTAAACAATAATGCAAGCAAATAATATATTAATATTTTCTTCTTTTCAACATTAAAAGTAATTTTATTTAATTAATTTTTATTTATTAATTTATTAATTTATTTATTATATTGAAACATTGGATGCTGTTCAATACGTCCATGAGATGTATTGGACAATGTCCAACATTGATTGTCCTCCTAAGAATAAAAAAGATACCGTAAAGGCAAATTCATGTAAAGCACATGTCAAAATTTTTCTCACGTAATAAATATTTTTAAAGCATAAAATCGATATTATTATAAATATGAGTGAATGTATTTATCTTTCTGACTTAACTCATAAACAAATTAATAATAGTTATAATAATTCTCCGCAAACCCATCAAAATTCTAATGAAAACCCATTAGATAATTCTACAAATTATTATTATAATTATAAACAAAATCATTTTTCAAATAACAATGATAATAATAACTTTAAATTGTTAAATGATTCCTCTTTTTTTTTTTTTTTGAAAATATTAATAAACGAATTGATCAAATGGAAAAAAATAGAAATTATCAAAGGATTTTTATAAATAACAATTTACCATGAAACAATTAAACCTTTAATGGAAAATATCTCGAACTTTTATTAAGAAAAGTGAGAATGGTTACTAAAAGCTAAAATTAATTGTTATGATGAATTGCTATAGAAATATTGTTATCTCAAACTCATGATCTTTGTGATTGTTCCTATTGCCAATGTCTTGTTTACTATTTTTTTAATAGAAAATTTCATTAAGCGAAGTGAGTATGTAAACAGTCCCTTTGCACAAGTTATGTATATATGTGATATCAACTTAAAATCGTGATTTTTGACATTGACCCTCTTTCTATTGTCCATTCTCAATTAATTTTTAACCAAAATTAATCATTATCATCATTTTTTTTAACAAAAATAAATTCATTTAATATTTCTTTAAAAAAGTATATATTAAATTGAACAAAGGATGGCCATTTAAATCTCCCTTTAATACTTTTTTTAAAAAAATTATTTATTTACTATATGCAAGTCACTTGGTCGCTGAACTTTTTATGCTATACAATATAAAAACGGTATTACAACATATACCACGCAAAAAGTAAATAAATAAATATTTATATCTTGATTTAAAAAATATACTGTGTAAATTATTATTATTCAAATTTAAAATAAATAATGATTATATATATATATATATATATATATGCTATTACACACCCCTACAAAAAGTATCGACTCACTTGATGATCCGCCAAAATAATCAAATAGACGGGTAATACAAATACTCGTTTTTTTACTAAAAAAATCGATGTTGTGTATTAGTGAGAAAATGTTTATTGAAATGATTACCATAACACTTTAAAATATCACATTGGGCCAATTGTTATTGATAATTTTATGATGTTTAAAAGTCAAATTAAAATTTTTTGAAAATTTTTTGAAAAAGTAGCACTTAGAGCTATTTTAAGA